ATCACAAACCACTGCTTCTAATCTCCTCCGTTTCACGTCATGAGACGTCAGCTGAGATTTGGATTAAAAAGCAGAGAGATTCGGGCACCGTGGAGGGAGACCAAAGGCTGAACAAATTACCGGCCCCTTGTGACACAGCTGTGTCCTTTTAGAATGGGGGCATGAGCTCAAGGACGCCAGGGCCCTTTCGGTGAGCACGTCACGCAGCCACCGCCCGCTGCGTGCTCCAGACTTAGCGCATCCTACATCTAACCTCTGTTGAGCTAATGTGATCATCTGTCACGATGGCAATCTGCAAGCGCAGGTCAGCGTTCAGTTCTATAAAGCGCACGGCCTCCGGGCCGGTTCACTGACGCGATTTGAGATAGTACGATCTGAACAGGAGACAGTAAGGGTCAGTTTTCAACACAGTCGCAACCAAAGTTCTTGGGGCGAGGTCGACTGGCTTCCGAACAGCGCTGAGGATCTAAGGCAATGTCCTCCCCGGTCTGGAAAGATTTCTTTCAACAGGCCCGGGGTTTGGAACGGGGGGTCGTACCCTGAGCGACGGGATCAAGGAAGGCCATGTAACATAGTAGCCAAAGCAGCAGACCCAGGGGCCCGCCTGAGTCACGTCCTCCCGTTCAGGCATTCCTCCTGCACGTCGAAAGCCTGGGCAAACAGGTGCGAAGCCTTGACAGCTAGCTGAGCCCAAACCCACAGTCCTGGCTCTTGTGGTCAGAGCTGCAGCCAGTGGGAGAAGCCATTCTCTGGGCACTCACTAGCTCCCTTGACTGGCAGCTCGGAAGCCGGGTGTGATTTCTGCACAGCGCACTTCCCCCAGCTCACACGGCTAGGACCCCTTGGGCACGAGAGTGTTTTCCATCAATAGAGAGGAAACTGCCGCATCCCATACAACCACACTTGTCCTCCGAGGTGCCTAGTGGGGCATGAAATCTAGAGAGGAAATGCTGGAGCTCTGTGAAGAATTTAGGTAGGTGGAGTGTGATTACTGAAGTTGAAATCTGTCCAGACCATTGAGTTAACCACTAATGTGATAAAAATGAATGCTGTGGGCTTGTTCGAGGACTTCATTCTACCTGAGCCTATTAATATTGTCTAAATCATTAAAAAATCCCGTGTACCATTAAACATGAATGATGGCACTGGGTAAACCTCGGGCAGATGGCCGCCTTAATGGAGCACCACTCAAAACCGCAGTGGCCCCCTAGGACCGGAGCTGGCTGTTTTTAGCCACTGTGATTGACATAAGCACATGTCCTCAAATTCACATGGGGAGCGGGGTTTTGGGGCAACGTAACCGAAAATTATCCCGCACATACTCACTAGCAATTAATCCCGAGATATGCATGAGACGGCATAGGATTTAGTACTGAGACAAGCCAGTGATTTAGAAAAAGCCAGAGGTATTTCAGCAATGTCCTCGGTAGCCTTTCCATAGGGAGAGAGATCAGGCAACAGCTGATGGAGGTGGCACGCCAAGAGCTTTCTTACTCTCTTTTTTTAAGGTTTGTTTATTTTTGATAGAGCGTGGGCAGGGGAGGGGCAGAGAGAGAGGGAGACAGAGGATCCGAAGCAGGCTCGGTGCCGAACAGCAGTGAGCCAGATGCGGGGCTCGAACTCACGAACCGGGAGATCATGACTTGAGCCGAAGTCGGACGCTCAACCTACTGAGCCACTCAGGTGCCCCAAGAGCTTTCTTTCTCGACGCAGGCTCTCGTCTGGCCCTGGAAAGCCAGCAGCGCCTGTTGCCCTGTGCTCAAGGCGTTCTCCCCAAGCCCCGGGTGGGAGGAGAGCTCATACGACTCTGGAACCAGAAAAGTAACTGGTAATACGTTTGAACGTGTGGCAGGGCCTGGTGTGGATAGGAGTGTGGACGCTCTCTGAGGAGCCACATCTTGGGCATTTTTGAGATTCTGTCCCATACCGAGAACCTGGCAAACCTTGACGGCAGAAGAAAGGAAAGACTTTCCACCCCGTGAGATGGTTCCTCCCGCTGGGTAGCGCTGGTGTCGCTCCCTACCAGCTCACGAGGGGGAAACACCCATCGATAACACCGTGATCTGGAAGGAATTTGGAGCCGGCTTCGTGCACATCTACACTACCACCGGAACTCAAGCCTGATCCTTGCCTCAGACCCGCGGCCGGGGCGGACTGTCCTATAAAGGCTGGACTCAGTCGCCAAGCCCGGATTCAGGGCTGGGCAAAAGGATGGCCCAGGCGGATCACGGGGTAGCTAGGGAGCAGCTGCGGGCAGCTGAGCTTTCCCGAGCGCAAGTTTGGAAAGACATCGGCATCAGGGCCGAAGTGTATGATTTCAAAGTCTTCCACAGTTTGCGTTTTAGTCAGAAGCCCCCACGAGACCAAGATCCTCATGATGAGGCAGGTTAAAGAAACAGACGACCGACGCTAACTCGGTTTTAACGTTTTATTGGGTAAATGATTTTAAAGATAGTAACAATAGTGTCAAAACTACTACAATATCTTTCCACAGCCATACCTTACAGACCCACGTAAACCTTCTCAAGTTTCCTTTCGCTCAGTTTTAATATTTTCAAGCTATACATGTCATATAAAATGCCCATTTCCAATAGTTTCTTCAAACTATTAAGCAATTAAATGTGGAGGGCACGAGGATCTAGTTTATACCTGGAGGGGTGTCAGGTGATCTGTGATGTCTCACGGTAATCCAAAACCAGGGGACTAGGAAAGAAGGAAAAGGAGCTACTCCAGGTAGCTTTTGCTTGTTACGAGTCTCACCACTGTATCACCAAGAACTCAGTATGCTGGTGACCGATTCAAAGTAATTTCGGGGAACATATAAAACACTAAAATAACTTAGAAACTAGATCCAAATATTTCAAAAGTAATTGACTTCGATATACAAAAACAGTCAGAGGTGGTTACAAAAGTTTATTTTCTCAGTGCGTCTATGTACCAGCGCAGTTACTGGGTCCAGAGCAAAATAAAAGGCTTCTTTTCTTCTGAAACAGTAATAAAAAACAAGGAAAACATATCTTTGTATATAAAGGATCGATGCTGGTCTTAAGAATAATGTAATCGGAAACCCTTAAATCGAGAGGCACACAATGGGTTTCTGCTTTTAAAAAATAAAAGGAAAGTCACCAGTTTATTTCAATGGAGGAGGTGCTCGCACCACTCAAATAAACTTAATTCCATTTAACATCACTAGCAAAAATCACTTAGAAACTGTACAAAAATAAAAAAGTGAACACATTTAATCCTGCAAGGTTTTTGTAAGGACTGGAAGGCAGGCTTTTAGAGCAGCATTTGGGCATGGCTGGGGGCTTCTTTGGTTTGATCTAACACACGTTAAGAGACGGAGCCCTATTCCAG